TTTTGATAAAAGTCATGTTTTGGTAGACATTAATCTTCATACCATGCAAACAGGTCATGCTTGTCACAAAAATCTTGCATTACAAACATAGGATAAAACAGTATTCAAGGGCTAGAGATGAAGATAGAAGCAAAATGATGATGTAAGATGTAATGAGCTGTGTTCCCGACACTCCACAATGACGACCATTCCCTTTGGACTGGATCTGTATCAATATATATAGGTGTTTCTTTTATAATGTTTATAACAGACTGTAGATGACAACAACTCCATGAAAAGTCATCTCTAATTTTTCCACTTCATGCCTTGATTAACAAAATTGTCCAAAACTATTTTTAAAATGTCATTTGACCTGAACAATGCATTGCACTACACAGGCTATGTGTATAAAACAGATCACTAAAAGTGAGAAAATGAATGTAGAGAAGCTGTAACATTTTGTATCCCTCTACTTAGCCTATGTCCAGCACTCAGTGCCAGTGAATTTCTTACCAGAAAGCTACTAAGACGATGCACCAAATCAGAAAAAGAATGTGCTGTTTATTTGCTGTCATATACTATTATGTACTGGATCCAAATATTATGCATTAGAAGTCATTTTATTTTACTGAAAACTCACAGAAACTGACAATTTCTGTGTAGATGTAAGTAGCATTGCTTAGAATAAAAACTACTTCAGACAGAATGCCTGCTGTTAAGATTGCAATGTCCTTCTGTTTTATTCAAATAGCACTCAACATTTACAGAAGAAATCAAGTGAGCTGCTTCCATTAAGGTAACTGAGTATTAAGGAACACACAATCTAAAATCCAAAGTGGAATCTGATATCTGGCACTTACTGATGTTCTGATCAAGCATTCTGATATACAACCACTGAGAAACAAAAAAAAATGATCTTGTTGATTTACTGCATGAACATAAGACAAATATAGATATATATCTTCAGAATAGGAGCAAATGATAGTAATTGAAATGCTATGCTTATAAATACTGAACTTGAAATGATAAACTGCTACAAATTCTGTTACCAATTCTTTTTTCTGCTACAAAAATTAAATGCAATTGTACTTGTGACTCAAAAAAAGTTCCTCTGTATTTTCTTGCTAGGCATCATTCCATTAAAGCCTGGCATACCTCCTCACTCTGACAGTTCCACTATACATACCAAAGAGCATTTTGAATAAATAATAATTTGGTACTGTAGAGGTACCTAGGCAATTGTTTTTGGAAAAACAAAACAAAACAAACCCCACCCACATTGAATATATAAGGAAGTAGACACAGAAAGCCTCCAATTGGTTTTATACTGCTACAGCTCTTACTTTACAACCAAAAGAAAAAGACTCTTTCTTCTGCTCAGGATCTTCTGGCAGTATATCATTCCCAGTTTGATCCATTGTGGCCTCACTATGCTGAAAAAAAGGAAAGATATTTTAATTAAAAGATGTGAAAATGATAGGTTTAGAAGGGGAAAAGATGAATAGGAAAAATACAAACGCCCAAGAGGGACTCAATTCAACATTTCTCAGCATCCTCTGAATTAACACTGGTATTTCTGTATTATGCATCTGTACTGGGTCTGGCTGGGATGGAGTTAACCTGCCCTGCAGCAGCACTTGTAGCTAGAACAGCATTGGTATCACACCAGCGTTGTGTCTGCTGCTGAGCAGTGCTGGCACAGCCCCGGGACTGCCCCCCAGAGCCAGCAGGATGAGGGTGGGCATGAGGTGAGGAAGGAACAACACCAGGGCGGCTGACCTAACCCAGCCAAAGGGATATTCCGTGCCATGCGATGTCACACTCAGCAGTCGGGGTGGGAAAGAAGGGGGAGTGGGGAGTGGGAGCTCTCATTGTGAAGACATCTGTTCGCCCAAACAATCGCTATGCGTATTGAGGCCCTGCTTCCCAGAACATGGCCAAACATTGCTCGTTGATGGGAGTTAAGAGAGTAATTTTATTTTTTTTTTCTCTCTGTTTCTGCATGACTTTTTATTTTATTTTTTTAATATTTTTTTCCCTCCACCATGGAGGCCACAGCTCGGCCTCCCCACCCTCTGAGAGGCTCAGGGCAGGGAGCGGCAGGGCGTGCTGAGGCACTGCAGGGGGGAAGATGGCGGCCGGGGGAAGATGGCTGCCACAGGCAGGGCCTTGGCCTGCTGGTGGTGTTTAATTTCTATTTGGCCAAGTTTTACTAAATATTTCACCTGGGGTGAAAAAGTTCTCTTTTGCTGCCTGCTTTCACTCTCCTCCCACCTCCTGCCCCAGAGGCCGCTTTGGCGAGTTAGAAGCGCTGTGAGCCATGGTAGGTGTTCGTCATGCAGCAGGTGACGGTGCAGGCAGGTCTCTTGAGCTAGCAGGGGCAGAGGTGTCAGCAGACAGGAACAAAGCCCCCGCCTTTGCAACGCACCAAAACCTTCTCTGTTTGAAACTCAGCTCAGGCAGATTCCCACTGGAGTACTATTTTCCAGGAAATATTTTTCAAATTAATAATGAACCAAGGGCTCTGCTTTTAGAGTTGCGTGCATGCAGAACCTCTTTATTGAGACACATGAGCCTAATTATAATACAAGGCTGTTCTAACCAGTTTTACGACAGCCCTGGCTGCACTGATTTCATTAAGACAAAGGATGGCACATATACAGATTTAATGTGAATAGCTTTCTTTGTCAGGACCCAAACCTGGAACTCATGACAGTTGTTCTGAGTGCAGCGTAACTGCTTTACAGTTCTGTCACGGGCAATGCCTGTAAGATGAGAATGGTGAAGATCCTTGTTAAATGTCTAACAGCCTTTGGATTTGTGGATTGCACGAGCATTCTGAAATTCTAAACTAATTGTAGAAAACACATTATTCATGAAAAGAATATTGTGGGAGGCAACTTACAATAACCTTGCAGCAGGTAGTTGAGGTTCCCTAGGACATAAGCAGGTGATCTCGAGCTCATCTTAATAGTGTAGTTTGAATAACATACACTCATTTTATAGCTACCACTGTGCTATGGTTTCTGCATGTTTCAGCAAAAGAAAATAGGTTCCTCTCTTAAAGTAGTGAAATGCACAATGCAACAAGTTAACATAAACTCAGCTTCACTAGCTTAGATTCAAGCACTTGTTTCACTAATCTGCTTGAATCTTAGTTCATAGCTTGAATAGTAAAGGCAGAAATTGAGAAGATGTATCTCAAGGAGAAGCAGTATGATTTCTAAACAAAGCTTCCAAACATCAGATTTACATTATCACTATTTGCACCCAAGTATTGGATTTTCTATTTATTTTTTGAGGGTGGACTGTTTCATTAGATATTCACTAGAAAAATCAACTTTTTCTGTACACTTAAACCAAATCTAATTTGCAAACAGGAGGATCACATACTGTAAATTTCTTATGAAAATGGAGGTTGACAGGAGGGACTATTTCCTATTCCCTACTACCTGTGTTCTTTGTAACATCCCACAGCATTAATCTTGCCTTTTCTCCTTATTGAATACTTGCTTGTATTTAAGCTTCTGATGTGAAACAAGTGCAAAGAAGGAAAGAGTGCAATTAACAGCAAAACAATCTAATTTAAGTACAATTTTGCTACCCTGTACAACTATTTAGCATTGAATCAGAAGGCATACCGTGCTTAGGAATGAAAGGTCTATGTGAATGTGTGAATGACTCACCATGAACAAATCAAAGACTGTGGATGAAAAAGGAAGTGGTTGGCTAGAAATCTCTGTGAATTCTACTTTTCGAGTTATTTCAAGTTTTCAGAGGCTCTCTCATTTCATTAGCCTATTAAGGGGAACTTCTTCCTGCTATCTAGATTTAGTTGCAGTAAGCTATGGAAGGAATTCTTCATTAAAATGCAGCAAAATCACTATGTAGTCAGTAAAACCATAGGTAAGTAAGGTGTAGGGGATGAGAGTATTTCTGCTGTGAACAGAGACTATGTTTCATGAGATTCTTTGTCCTGCTGGACCATACCATATTAGCAACAAACTTGTTACCCTGGAGGATAACATTAACAATCAGAATGCATTTGCAGTAAGTCAGAGTTAGATAAAACATAAATGAAGTACATTGGCACACTACTAGTAAGGGGGAAAACACTGAAAAATCCAATGTTTCAATAGCAAAACCTGGCAAGCAAGCTATGCTTTGCATTTTGTTACTCTTTGCATTAGGAGGTCTTAAAGTGATGTCGCATTCTGCATCTCTGTGGCCATCTGCCATCCTTCAGAAAGAGGCAGAAAGCATGGAACAGAACACAAGGAAGGGCAAACAACACAACAGTTTCGAACAGCATAAGCAAAAGCACTCTGGTATTCATGAAATAAAACAGGAAACAGAACATGAGACCGGTTCTCATTTTGAAATGAGTGGACTGTGAGCTTGCTGCCATCCTGTGGCAGCAGGTGTCTGTTCCCATGAACTAGGAATTTGGGTTGAGTTTATGGAAAAGCTAGATAGCCCTGGTCTAGGACAGCGGGTTCCACAGTTTGAGGGTCTTGTGGAGCTCTACTACCAGTTAAGACACACGCAGGTTAAGAAATGACCCACTGAAAAGGGCTGTAAAAGATGAGGGGAAAGAGCTTGCTTCAAGTCAGCAGATAGACTTCCCTTATTGTATCTCTCTTTAAGAAACATGACAGCTACTGCTTTAAAAAATTTAAATTCAAATGCTGCTCAAACCCAAATGCCTGGGGAACTGTGCTAAATATTTGCATTTTAGCTTTCCTTGTCAAAGCAGCATATTTTGCAAGTGGTAATAAAAATGAAAGCAGGACAAACTGCTTGCTGTATGGCCAGTCAATACAGACAAAGACAAAGAGCATGTAATCAGTAATCTCTAGCATTTTTTCCAAAATTTGATAGTATTTCTAAGAGTTATTAATTCAGGCAACAATAGCATTGTATCTAGTTTGTAAAGGCATTCAAACATAAATCCCTCCCATTCCCTCTGCCCCATCCTCGTTGTAACTCTAAACGGAATTTCAAGATAGGAATCTTTCATGTTTACCAGCAGGCAATATTTATTGTTGTAACTGAGAACTCTACATACAGTATTGCACAAAATTATAATGTATCAACTGACAAAACCATGTTTCTATGTAATTGTTAATAGCACTTTACAGAAGCTTACCTTAACACACTGTGCGTTAAGTGCCAGTAAATTGATAATTCTTAGAGGATTATTTCATGGGTATATGGAAGTGCAAACTTTCATTCAAGGCATATACACAAAACATATGAAAAGGATTGCTGTGAGCACCACAGGTCCAAGCCCCCTCCCCCCCCCCCCAAAAAAAAACAACAACAACAAAAAAAAACAACTAACCACTAACAAGAAAAAAAAAAAATCAACCCTCCCTTCCAAAATAGAACACACACTGAAACAAGCTGAGTAAATAACAGCATTCTTCAGAAACACCAGTGCTACTACATTCATAGTCTTATCCCCTAGCAAGAAGCATAGAAATGTAATCTGAAAAGATGCCCTTAACTCAGAGTTTTAGACATACTAATTCAGCTGTATCACATTACCTGGATTTTTTTGTTTTGCAAGACCAAAGGACATACAGCACTATCAATTCAGCTAACCAGTGTACTACCAGTTATTTCTGAATTACTGTATAAAATAAAAGTAACTGTGTACAATAGTTGACCACTGGAGGGAAAAGTGTTTTTACATCAAAAGGTGATACAGTATACAAATAAAATTCAAGTACTTAATATTTACTATAGCTGTGGAAATTCTGGCCTTCTTTTCTTACACAGTACATATTGAGAACTTTTCATTTTTATTCCCTGTACAACTTTTCTCAAACTGGACCTACCCAGCTGCAAGCCCAAATCTTCAGCACACTGCTGCTGTAAAGCTGTTCACAAGCACGTGGCATGACTAAGAGCCTTAGTCCCTTTTGTCCTCTGCTTCCTATTTCCAGCCTTTTGACTAACTGCTCAGGTCAGTTTCCCAGGCATACCATCAAGTTACACCTCTTCTACACAAGTAAGTAGCTAGGCTGCACAATGTCCTTGTTGGACAATCAGGGAAATTAGAGATACATTAGGATGGAACAGTACTTTTTTTCCTACCAGCTTTAGGAAGGCCTGGAGAAACATTTACACTTCTGCCTGAGCTCCTGTAGAAGTACTGAAGACAATCAGCTTGAAAAACACCGTCTTAAAAAAGGAATAATCTGATTAAAAGAAAGTACATTAATACCAAAGAAACAATAGCATCCTGTAAGTATAATTGTTTTAATTAATAACTAGATTATTTTCAAACAATTATTAAATACAAGTTTTTTGTTTCTGTATCACTAAGATTTCCTGTTACTAAACTGACCTCAGGATGGGAGTTAAATAGAAGTTACCGTTAAGTTTTGTAAGGGAAGAATCCTACTACCTACACAGTCACTGCACGGAGTTCAAATTCTAACAAAATTAGTAGCACACATGGCTACAGAAAGAAAAAAGTATTTGTTTTTCTCTCAAGAAACCCCATGCTTATAGCTTTGGTGCACAGACAGCATATGAGAGCATATATATGTTCCGTGACCACTGGAAATCTGAATTCTGAGCAGTGTTACCAGCTTTGCAGTTTAAGTCAAGAAGGATGAGGACAAACAAGACCTGCTTTACTCCTGCTTTAGCACTCCAGTGCCTGAACATGTTTCAAGTTGTTGAAACACAAACAACATAGGCTCTGCCTTCAACAAGGCAAGGAGCAGGATTAAAATTGGATTAGCATATTTTGAAGTATTTCTACAAACAGTGCTCTAACAGCCTACTACATTAATACATTAACTTCTTTTTGGACTTCCTTGGATTTACAGGAAAATAGGATACCAGAAAACCTACACATATAAAATGTAAAAACCATCAGAAATAGAAGAACATAAAGCATCTACATAATCAGTGAACTTTGAAGCTGAAGACCATAGATCTGTATATATAAACAAACACCTTTAAATGGTGGTTTTCGTTATTCCCTCCCCCCCAAGTCAAATCAAAATATTTCTGATAATTGCATGGGGTTTGGATGGGGAATTGCGGGTACAGTGAACAAAGAAAATGACAAAGGGAAAGAACAGTGAGGTTTATTTTCTTGGCATGTGAGAGTACAGAGATGTTGCTATAGCACTTGCTGTTCTTACCTTTTGGATCCCACCTCATCACAAATAACAGCATAACTATGTCAGTGCTGGAATATAACACACAATTTAAAATTTCAACATGCTTTATTTTCCTTAATGGTATCCACACTTGACACAGCCTAAGAACCTGAAGAAAATTCATTTGCTTCTGAAAGAAAAACAGCAAGTGTTCTGTGGTGTTCAAAGTCAAAACATTAAGTCCTAAGTTTCAGATGTTAAAGCTTTCTCCACAGCCACACGTTCCTTTGATGTTTGGATTATTGAAGACAAATTCACTGGACAGTTTGTCTTCTACATAGTCCATTTCAGTTCCTAGAAGTGTCAGCTGTGCTTTCTTCTCAATAAACACTCTAACCCCTTGAAGACAAAGAAAAAACATTTACATACAGCAAAATCATTCATCATTTACTTTGAAATTCTGTTTCAACTAGAACTGAATAAACTTTGTTTCAACCTTGATAAAAATGGAAGCAAAATTTCAATAATAATATTGCAACTTGTTTTTGCTTGACTAACATGCAACACTTTATTTTTTACCCTACTATAACACTAGTAACAGCCTAGCACTGTTATCTGTGTGTGTTTGTGAATGCATGTATTTTTTGTTTGGAATTAGAAACATAATAACCACAGAAATAAATTGTAGAATTTGGGAACTAATATCAGCTTTGATACTTCTCATGCATTATAGTTGTTAACCCATTTCCTACCGTTCTTAGAAGTCTGACAACATCTGACCAACAAGAGGTCAAAAAAAAGTTCCTCTCTCACAAGGGAATGTGCTTTGTTCTACCAAAATTGTTAGGTCTTCATGAACTATGAGCAGTATTGAATCCTATACCAAGCCAAATGTGCGGCCTTTCAAAGATAAAATAACTTTTAAGGACTAATTAGTAGTTCATCTTAGAAATCAGAAAGAGATCACTTCTCTAAAGCACGCAAAGTATCAGCCTAGAAAGATACTGAACTTTAAATCTCCAAGTCCACTACAAGGACACGAATGAATTGCCTTAGCTACCTACTGACTTGGGAATAACAAAAAGTAAATTTTAAAGTTGCAAGTAAATTTTAAAGCAACAAGAACTGGTTAAGTTACGAGAGCTTACTGGAAAGCTGCTCTATCACAGTCAAAATACAAAATATACTGCTAACACAACACAAGTCGGGGGCAACTGAATTAAATTTGCCCCAAATACATTTTTGGGGAGTACCAAATCCAATGAAAGAGTTTTTGGACTTGATCCATGAAGCAGCCACTTGCTACCTAAAAGCCAGAAAGTTTGGGCTGGTATCCAAAGGCACCAGCTCACAGAGTATAGAGCTATATAAAAGTCAAAGCCTTCATTGGAAGTCTGCCTCCAATGGATAAAAGCCTAGCCAAAGAAAACTGCACAGACACATCTGAAATGCTGTCTGGCTTTGAAGCTGTAGGTCTCTGTCTTGACTCAGGGAAACTGCTTTTACCTTCTTCAAGATTGAAATCAGGAGATGCATTCTGAAAAATGTGTTTTCATCCCTATAAAGTCAGAGCAGCTCTCTGAGTCAAGCAGAAGAGGTAATACCAGAAGCAAGCTAAGTTTGAAATCAAGAAGCACATGCAGAACTGTGTGGGACTCTCAATCTCATGCTTTCCAGTTCACATTAATCACTTGCTGAAGCCCTATTTTATTTATTTATTTATTTATTTTGTTCAAGAATAAGGTGTATGGGTTGGTATGGTTTGGAAGTATCTTAGTAGATATTTCCAAGACAGCTGGAAGATGAGCTCTGCCTAGCAGCATACCTTTTAAAAAGAAAGTAACTGTGATACCGCATTCTTATTCAAATCTCCTATTTCTCTGCTAGATTAAACGTAATTATCCCGAATGCAAATATAAGAGAGTTCAATAAAGCTTAAAAACAAAGCAAAGCAAAAACTCCTAACACAAAATAAATATTTTAGGAAATTTATAAAAGGAGAATTATTATGCTTCTGTAAAAAAACAAAAAAAAAAAAACCAAGTCCATATCTGACAGAAAGAAATTCTTATAAACATGGAAAAACTGAATGTAAGTTTCAGTACTTTAGCAATATACCTATGATGGGGCACACAAAGAAGTTATCAGTAATCAAGCTTAAACACCAGCATACGAAAAATGCTTAATTCAAATTGTAGAAGTGTTGTTACAAAACATTTCAAAGATCAAAAGCATAAATTGGTTAAAAACAAATTACCTATCAAGGAAGCATGAGACTCATTAGAGCAAATAGCTGCTATATCTTTTTGCAAATAAGATCTTTATTTTGCCAAGCCTTGCTTCAGGTATGCTGATAAAGTATCCTTTTATACACTCATGGTTCTGTATTTTCTCTAAATATCCAGTTAGCTACCTCCAAAGACACGAGTGACAGGCTACATGACTTATACCATGGAGTAATCTCTGAACCAGAGACTGCAAAGCTGCAGATTTTAGGGGGTAACTTCAACACAGAAAGCAACGCAACAGTAATCCCAGTATCAGAAAGCTACCACCTCTTGCTGTAACTTGTTACTTCGAAGAGTTTCTAGCCTGTCCATTCAAATTTGCAATTAGGCTCTTCTCCCCTGTCACCACAAAAGTTTGCTGTACTGCATCAGAAACTTACCATCTTGAACTACTTCTTCATCAGAGTCTCCTTTAGACTTTGTGTATTCTAACGTGTAAGAGAGTCCATTGCATCCTCTTGTACGAACACCTACTTTCACACCTACCTGAAAAACACACAACCCAGAAACGCAGAAAAAAGTCATTCTTAAGTCTTTTCTGCAGTACCTAGATAAAACGCATATAGAACACAAAATGCTGACATCTGTTCTCCACTACCCCAAAGACAGTGCTAAAACAGAAGTGCATTAGTATTATAGATTATTAGGTAACATTTTTTCCCTTTTACAAAATTGACTACTAAGGTAATGGTAAGCATTACATAATTACAACTGTGGACCAAACTCTGAAGTATTTTTAAAAAAAGTCTTGAAGTAAAATAGAAGTAATGATAAACTATTGGCTCTCCTGTAGGTGCCTCCTCTCATAAAGACGGTGAAATTTTAAACATGTTTTTGTGACTTCAAGTTAAAGATTATTCAGATGCTAATTCAGGCGCTATTTTCAGATTACTTACAGTAATTTAATTATGAAGCTGTGAGGCCAGGCCAAGGGCAGTGGCTAGATTTTTACACTCCTCCTCTAATGACCATCAGAAAACTTTTACTTCAATCCAAAGTTCTGAAAGAAATTACTTTTATTTCTTCATTACCCCTACTGCCATTCACCTGTAAAGCTCAATCCCTTCCTTACACCAAATGTGTCCATTTGCTTCATGCTTTGATCCTTGTTAAAAGCAGATGGAATATTTGTAACCAGTGACAGCTATTCAATACTGACAAAAAGTGCATCTGTGCAGGTAAAGAACTAAGGGAAGGTGGCAAAGAAACAGAAAACTATGCGTGCACAAGAATCTTTCAGTAGTGGCTGTTCCATTTTCAGCATGCAACTGCTTCATAATTAAATATGAAAAATATGCTGTCTATCCACATGATCAATGTTATGATAAAAACGTATAGAAACATTATCACTCGCCACCAAGTGGGATTCCAGATAAACAACATATGATCTGTCCAGACTAAACAGCTCTCTCTGCAGGAGCTGCAAGATAAAAATATGCTGGAAAACAGGAACACCATCTATAACAAGGAGGTGACTGACCAGCTAAGCAGTAGGCTTTGGGCTTCCTTATAATGGTTTAAAGCATTAGAACAAAGAGTCTACATAGGTGCAGATGTACAGGAAGCAAAAGAAACAATGGGCCTTGTACCACGCTTCGAAGAGAAATATACTTCATGAAATAGTACTTGCTGTGGAGCAGAAAACCTAATGTTTGTTTTTACAATGGTTAGAAAGCAAAACTGTGTTTTCGTCCTAAGAAGAAAAAGATTACAAGCTCAGTTACATGGTAAAATGGTGATTATTTATACATAAAGACTATGTCTCTAAAATATATGAATATATACACATATTTATATAAACACACAAATAAATATAATATTTATATGTTTAAATATAAATAACAAATATATGTCCATGTTTTTATATATACATATATATAAAGAAAAATGTATTTTCTGTCAAGTTTCTCGAGAATTGTATGTTTTCCCATGGGTATTAATCTAGCTTTGTAATTATTTACTTCACAGTGAGAATTCCTACAAAAGACAACTGGTAACATCCTAACAGTTGAAGATCTCTGGTCCTACCAGAAATCATGAATATGCAACATTAGAAAACAATTAAAAAATAGTTTAAAAATACTTTGAAGCTTAACCTTTTTCTTTACCTTTATCTTTGTGAAGAGTAACTGTACAATGAAATGTTATTACAGTTAGTTATTTCCTGCACTTTATAAAGAAATGACACTGGATAAACATGCTTACACAAAGCCCTCCAAACAAAAGACACCAACATCTCTAAATTCCTTAGCACATTCCTTAATACCTCAGCAGTACCTATTGGGTGGCCTTGTTTACACTTACATGCTCAGGTTTATCTTTAAGAAGTTGCTTTATCTTCTGCACGGCTGATGGGGTCTGAAAAAGAAAAATATGCACATCATTCTGAAATGTTCCTTTTTATTTGTGGTGAATGCCTGCACATACTAAAAAGCATGTAACGTATGTATTGTAAAAATTTCCGACTTTGTGTGCAACCTAATTGTGTCTCACATTTTAGTTCCTTCTCCTATCCAAGACGTCCACCTTCAGCCCCAGCCATCTGTCAGCACTGACTAGCCTATGGGGGCGTGAGATATGCTCTTATGGGAGTGTAGATAGGACAAGAGCAATGTCTTTAAACTAAAGGACGGTAGGTTTAGGTTAGATATTGGGAGGAAATTCTTTACTCAGAGGGTGGTGAGGCCCTGGTACAGGTTGCCCAGAGCAGCTGTGGCTGCCTCATCCCTGGGGGTGCCCAAGGCCAGGCTGGATGGGGCTTGGGGCAGCCTGGCCTGGTGGGAGGTGTCCCTGCCCATGGCAGAGGGTGGAGCTGGGTGATCTTTAAGGTCCCCTCCAGCCCAAACCAGCCTGCGTTCCCCGTCAAGCCCGGATCTCCCCATGTTTACCGCTCCGCACGGCCCAGGCAGGCAGCGCACGGCGCCCGTTCACCTCCTTCCCAACACACACGCCGCCAGCCCACAGACAGACAGACAGATACACGGCCAGACCGACAGACCCCTCCACAACCTCCCCCCGTGACAGCGCCTTGCTCCCCCAAGGTCACTGCCACGACTCAGCACTTACCGACCCGGTGCCTGCGGAACCTTCACCCCACACCCACCACAGTCAAGCCCCAGCTGCGCATTCACGGCCCCCCCCCCCATCGCCCGCCGTCCCCGCTCGCGGCCGTTAACGGCTCGCCCCCCCCCAACGGCCGTTAACGGCTCACCCCCCACCCTCCCTCCCGCGGCCGTTAACGGCTCCACCCCCCGGCCGTTAACGGCTGCCCCCCTCCGGGCACTGACCAGCGTGAGCGCGGCTCGCGTTGCCTGCAGCTTCCTCTTGCTGACGGCGCGCACCGTGGCCCGCACCACCGACGAGGCCATGGCCCCTCCGCGCCGCCCTCGGCCATGGGCGCCGCCGACGTCACGCCGTGACGGGGCCGCCGCGCCGCGCCCTGAGGGCGCCGCGCCCTCATTGGCCGAGGGGCTGTGATGGACGGGGGAAGGCCCCGCCCCCCGTCCCACCCCGCCCCGCCCCGCCCCTCGCGGCCGTGCTGCGCCACCGCGGCCTCGCTGAGGCGGCGGGGGTGGGGGCGGCGATAGGCGGCGATAGGCGGCGCCCGGCACTCCCATCCCCGGATGGGAGTCGCCTCCTTTGCCACTGAACATACAAGTGGTGAAGAAGAAATCTTCTATTAGTTTATTAACATTACATTCTGTACTCATATTTAGCTGTAAACTGTTAGTTTAGTTTATTAGTTTATTTAGTTTATTGCAATGAGTTTTGACACTGTTTTTTAAGCAACGTTTTACTAATGCAGTGCATCTCTTCAGAATTTTTCTGCATACGTGAAGAGTCGCTCCCTGCAGAGCGTACTCCCAACAAGGCCAGAAGGCTCTTGGATAAAAAGAAAGTTATTGAGAACCTAACTTTAATCTTACTTTGATTTCCAGTCATAGCATGGCTTAGGTTGGAAGGGGCCTTGAAGATCCCCCAGCTCCGCCCCCCTGCCATGGCAGGGACACCTACCGCCAGCCCAGGCTGCCCAAAGCCCCATCCAGCCTGGCCTTGAGCACCTCCAGGGGTGGGGCACCCACAGCTGCTCTGGGCAGCCTGTGCCAGGGCTTCACCACAGTTTCTTCCTTACATCTAGCCTAAACCTCTAATCTTTTACTTTAAAGTAACTCCTAAATTACTCCTTGTTCTTTCACTCCACCCCTTGACAAGGAGTCCCTCCCCACCTTCCTGTAGGCCCCCTTTAGGCACTGGCAGGCTGTTACAAGGTCTCCCCAGAGCCTTCTCTTCTCCAGGCTGAACAACCCCAACTCCCTCAGCCTGTCTTCACAGGAGAGGTGCTCCAGCCCTCTGATCATCCTTGTGGCCCTCCTCTGGGCCTGCTCTAACAGGTCCATGTCCTTCTTGTGCTGGGGGCCCCAGAGCTGAATGCAGGGCTCCAGGTGGGGTCTCACAAGAGCAGAGCAGAGGGGGCCAATCACCTCCCTCACCCTGCTGGCCATGCTGCTTTTGGTGCAGCCCAGGGTGCAGTTGGCTTTGTGGGCTGCAAGCACACATTGCTGGCTCATGTTAAGCTTCTCATCAACCAACACCCCCAGGTCCTTGACTTCAGGGCTGCTCTCAGTCCATTTGCTGCCTAGCCTGTATTTGTCCTTGGGATTACCCCAGCCAATGTAGGACCTTGCACTTGGCCTTGTTGAACCTCATGAGGTTCACTCAGGCTCACCTCCCAAACCTGTCCAGGTCCCCCTGGATGGCATCCCTTCCCTCCAGTGTGTTGACTGCACCCCAACGCTCAGTGCCATCAGCAAACTTGCTGAGGCTGCACTCCATCCCACTGTCCGTGTCACTGCCATGAAGTTATACTGTGCTCGTCCCAGTACTGACGCCTGAGAAACTCCACTCGTTCCCAATTTTCACTTGAACACTGAGCCATTGACCACAACTCTGAGTGAAACCACGCAGCCAATTCCTTACCCACCATGTGGTCCATCCACCAAATCCACGTCCCTTCAACTTAGAGACAAAGATGTCGTGTGGGGGCAATGTCAAATGCTTCACTCAAGTCCAGGTGATTACAAATCCCTTCACTAAATTTTACAACATACAAATCCAGCAGATATGTAATGCCTCATCATCTGTTTATTTTCTGTAATGCATCATTGTGTTAGTAAGTTATGACTGTGCTCTTTAACTATGGTTTACGCAAAGATATTTACTGGTCATTTGTGTAATGCCTGTACTGTGCTGCCCAACTTTAGAAATTTTATTCTAGGGCTAAGCCATTGGCAACTATACAGACATAGTAGTTGTGTAAGGAAGCAGCAGCTTCAAAGTGGCAAGACTGGTAATCTACAGAACAAGTCTGCAATTGGACGTGAGTTTAGAATCTCACATTTTTTAAGTTTTACTGTTAAACTACAAAATATCACAACGGGAAGAGGGTGAGTATGTATAAATATGATTTATTTCATTTTAAAAATACCTTCTATTAGTGAGATTCTGTCTTAGTCTCTTGGAGGTTTATACAGGTAATTCTCATCAGCAAAAAATGAAGTTGCAACAGAGTACTAAAACCATACAAGAGGCATGTCAGCCTTTCTACTTCTTGGGGTATGAGTGAAAAACTACAGAAAAAACATTTTTTAAGGGGGAAAAATGGCTTAATTTAAATGAAGACATAAGTTACAGGAAAAAAAAAAAAAAGAAACTATTGTTTGTTGCTGGCTAAGACTGAAAATATGTCAAGAAAAAGATTTTTTTTAAAAGCTCCACATATAGAAGTTTATAAATAGCTGGTTACAGATGGACGAAAATCAAAACAGGATTTCAGCTCCTTGAAGTCAAAGTTCTAGCTTTCACCTTTACTTAAAAATAGATAGGTAGGGAAAAAAGATTTAAACGTGACATTTCAAAAAACATTCTAACAAGTTAATCATTAATCTTACATTTAGTCAAAGGAATACTGAAAACTACAACCTAAGAAGAAATATAGAAACTTAAGTCTGAATTTCGTTTTTTTTAAAATTTATTTAAAAGTCATAAATAACAGTGGTTTCAGTTTTACGACGTAACTAATTATCTCCTGAACAAGATAGAGAGTACATTACCAGCTCTGGAAGGACTTCAAGTAAAGCTCAAGTTGATAATACTACTTAAATTCTTGGCTGGTCCAAGGATTCCATTCACATTTTATGAAAATGGACGTGTTTTCCCCAGTTGCCATATATCATTTCTCTGTTACATAAAGCAGTTATGTCTGTATCCCCAAGGTCATGAAAAAGATTCTTAGCAGCATCAAACAGGACCGACCTGTTTCAAAGTCCTTTTTTTTTTTTTTTTTTTTCTTCTTTTTCCCCTCTTGTACACAAGCACAGCAGCAAATGAATTCCCATAAAATCACAGAAGGGAAAACAAAACAAAACAAAACCCTTAATGGCACTGCTTATCTGCAGAGACTTTTACGTATGTTTGCTAGTGTCCATGTTTTCAGTTCTCTACATGGGGGAAAAGAAAACACCACAAAAACCTGTTTGCAAACACAGCTGTAGCAGTCTACAAACATTTCATACAATTTTACACAAGGATTCAGTAAACAATCAACATTTATAAATATTTGCTCTTTCAAAAATTAGTTTTTGAAGAAAATACATATTTGGCTTGCACACAATTTTAGTGCATTTTAAAATGGTCAGGCTGAATGACAAAACCTTGGTCCATTTTTAATACCTGCCCTTATCTATATGATTTACCTAGTAAACAAATACAAAATGTGGTGGCTTTCTATTAAAATGCTGAAACAACCTATTTAAGAGCAGGGGTCCATGGTATGAGACCAGAAATCCAGTTTCTTTTCCTAGCAATTTGTATTAAATTTAAAGAAACATGGGTATTTTAAGTTGAAGATTGTTTATGCTGCTGTCCTGTGAATCCAGATGCTTTAGCCAAAGTAAGTTTTTAAGTGAATGAAGGGCCTGTATTGCAATTTAACAGTGCTTCATATCCCTCATGATTCTTGTTGGGTCCTCTTCTGTGAGGCTTTTCCCTGAGTCATGTATTTATTGGAAAGGCTGCCTGAGATTGGGGGGGGAAAAAAAGCATCACACTTTAAAGGTTTAAAGGTTTCAAATAATATTAAAAATTAAAAAACACAGACATAAAGCAAATGAAACAACCAGACAGGAGGAAAATACCATTAAGTCAAACTACAATGAAGTCACACACAGATCAACTTTATAACATCAGCTGCTGAAGCACAGTAGGAAATACTAAAATATAAACAAGGAAGACTATTTTTTTCCAACTAAACAGCTAATGACAAATCGCTTTGTGCTTTAAATGCCCAAACTTCGATTTGAACGAGTTGTGCAATGCAAACAGGAAGTACTATCCCCACCCCACAAAAAACTGAGACTCTAATGAGGTACTTAATAGCAGTTTAGTCTTCAGAAGTTTTTGAAATCCCCCTTCAGGTGCCTCAGAAGAGACTTATATATATATTTATATATTTCGGGGGGGGGTGGGGAAGGGGGGAGGGGGAGCTTCTAAATGGTTTGCAGTTGCACTCAAAACTCAAAGTAATAATAAAAAAAAAAAGTGCAGTTGCTTTTAAAATCTTCATTGTACCAGTTAATAAGTTAAGTGTGTGAAATTACTGAAAGGAAGCTGCAGTGGCAACCATGCATCTAACACAATGCACAAAACATCTCTGATCCAGAGAGAGTACATAAAGGCCTTTATGTCATCATCTGACTGCTACTTGTTAGTGTAATTTTAACTTTCTTGCATTTTGGCAGCTCAGACAAAGGATGTGCTTTCATAGTCTCTCCTAAGTTAGCTGATCATATGGAATTCTAGACGATTACTCTGAGGAAGCCTCACAAGAAAGTGCTCCACATGTCGTCCCTGAAGAGAAACACAGAACCCCGTGTATGCCAAAACAGAGGGAGAGAAGAGAAAGATTGATAAAAAAACCATATCCTTCTGCAAAATAAATCTATTAGAGTTAAATAAAGAACAAATGGCTGACAGAATTAACATGCCTTATATGTTCTGCTCCCAAAACACAACTGAAAAAAAATGCACATTTCCAGATTAAAAAAAAAAACAACTGTTTTCACTTCAGAATTATCTAGCAACCTGTCCAGATTACTGCTGTGTTCAGCAAATTGGGCAGAGTTCCCGTTAGGACTGATGGAGAAAGCAAGTTAAAAATGCATGCCTTTGCACAGAAGTTCCGAATTGAAATTAAGACATACAAACCTGACTGGGGACTCAAAAATACTTTTCCTTTTTGTTTCTTTTTTTCTTCATGTATAAGCATTCCCTATAAATAACACATATATATTGATGAACGAACAAAACTGAATTATAACAATAACCCCCCGCCCCCAAAGGTTCTCCTTGAAAGCTTAAGTAAAGCTATTTTTAGTTACTTTGCATACAA